AGTTTCTAGTTCTGCTTAAGTTTCCTGAGTGATATAATTGGAATTAAATTATTAATGGGAGATACTTTTAAAAAGATTGTTTTATGATCTTCTATTAGGGAATTTGCAATTCATTTTAATATTTGTAGTTTGATTTATATTAAAGATAATGCAATCCATGTCCAATTAACAATACATGGCCAATGTAATGTGATTTCCAGATCATGCAAATGGAATAAGCTTGAAGAGGGGGGAAAACTTAATTCTTAACCTCAGATGTAATTTGCTGTGCGAGTTCTGGCAATTTTAAATGACATTGCACTTTTTAATTTTTCCAAAGGCTCAGCAGCAAATTTATCCCAATCAAGAAAGCCTATTATTAATTTACAAGGACAATTGTAGGAGTCTTTATAATTTATCCATGCAATTATTCACCATAATTTCTAATGGTAAAATACAAGGAGTTTGCAAGAAATAACGACTTATTTGCCTTGGGCTTGAACCCTTTTCTTCAGTCTTGAACATCTTCCCCAAGTGTTGGTGATACTGACTCCTTGTGAAGCACCACATGCTTTGTGAGATGCTGGACGCAGGTCTTCTGAAAAAGTGAGTAGGACAAGAGTGCCTGCAAAGGCAACACTGCCTCTAAGAGTACAGCTGAGCTGTGGATCCTGGACTCTCATATAAAAAGACTCTTTGTTCATCACTGAATGGCATTAGGCATGGACTTGCTGAGGGGCCACCATGAAGCCTCCAATGAGGAGTGCAAACACTAGCCAGAGAACACAATGTGAGAGTCATGGACACATCCTTGCATTTTTGTGCAAAATGCATATTTTCACACATAATTTTGCCAGTGGTTTTGTGTTTAGATGTGGTCCTATATGCTTTGTTATTGAAAGACTAAGATATATTTTAATTTTTCAGTGTTTTTTCCTTATCTGCCTATCGTGTATATGGGGGAAGTAATCATGCCAAATACACAAGCATTTGAGATATTAATTTGTGTGGGGAAGATAGTCAAACTGATCGTTCTTATAAGTACATAATCTCTGTGTTTAAACTTCCCTAATATAAAATCATGTGAATCCTAGTTAAAAGTATGGGAGAAGTACTCGAACACTGGTATCACAGTATTTGATAGCCTTATTCTAATTATCGAGTAAATTATTTGGCTTAATTCTTGTGTTTCTTATAGCCAAAGCTTCACTCTCCCTTCAGCAATGTCTGGTCTCTTTTCAGCATAACCAACAGAAGCACCATACAAAAGTCTTACAATGGATGTCTTAATCTCTCTGTGTGCTTTTAGAGCATTATTTTGAATTCCATCATGCTGCCTTTTTTCTTTCCTCTTCTGAAGTTTTATTACAACAGCAGAATTCCCAGGGAGCTTTGGGGGCAAGGTTCACATAATATAGCCCTGAAGTTTTGCTTAGGTAGAAGCCATCCCCCAATCCTGGCCATCTTTTGATGATCTTTCTATTTCAAAAAGATTCACTGGGTAGAGTCTTATAGCATTAGCTGTATGTAGTTTATTTTTTATTTTTTTATTTACTAGACAGTGAGCATCTACAACGCTTTCATGATGCTTTCTTTCTCTGACCTCACAGTGACAAAGCATCTTGTTCTTTAACATTGAGGGAGGCAGAAAAATGCTTGAGTTGCTCAATGTGTGCCTTCTATACCAGTTTCAAAATGGCTTATTCTTCTGGTTTCCATGGTGACAATTAACACTGTTTCAAGGCATTGTTCCAGTCTCCATTTGGGCAGAATTTTCGGTGTGATTTTTAACAACAACAAAAAAGGTTTTAGGTGGGGGAAAACTTTTAGCATAACTGTCAAAAAAGTTATCTCAATCAAGTTTGCATGCATTTATAAGTATATTAATTTGAGAAATCCCTGTTTTTGCTAGCTTTAATAATTCAATTTTAGTATTTGTGTTTTTAAAAAACAAACTCTATTAGATTTTTCAAAAACTTCTTTAGCTCTTAGTTGAAAGAAAAAACTACCAGTTATTGTTATTTTTAATTTTTAAAAATAATTTTGTTTAGTTAGAAACATGGGAGTGCCACTGAGGATAGCAGTAGCCTGCTTCTCTAATAAAGATCATTCACAAATCTATTAAGAGGGTTCATTAGTCAAAATTGAATTGGCCAAGCAAATACACTTAATAATGTAAATATGCCCTTTCAATAGAGTATATTTTATTTTTGACTAGACAGAGAAGCCCACAGCAGGTGCTGTGTGGAAATTAAATACTGGATGCTTATTTAACTTAGCACTCAAGAAAAGCCATCTGATTTTAGCTTTGCTAATCTCATTTTTGGCTACTGAAGAGTAGTCCATGTCATAACATCCCTAGACTATAGGACACAGTGAGGTAGCCTCTGTTCATTTATTGCTGTGGGTGGAATGAATGTGAAGATTAAATTATCTTCTCACCACAGGATAAAGTAGCTCTACTTGATGGGATGACTGAGAACGGATACAGCTGGCATTTGATTCTCCCCATCTAATGCTTCAAAAAAGATGTAAGAGAAGAACAAAAACATACTAGCATCAATAAAAATATAACCTTCCTAGCATTATACATACAGCTTGAGGCCTAAATCATCAGATTCAACCTTCAGAGTGCTTGAAAAATTAAAATACTTTCACCTCAGATTACATGATATTCTAGTACCTTTTGTTCACATACCAAAACATCTAACAATTAACTAGATTCTCTTAGCTCTTATAGGTTGAAGAACATTGTCCATCAATCACATCTTTCATCATGCTGTTTATAGAGTAGACTTTGTGGTGACAAAGACAGCATACATAAAGACAATTTTTTTAATTGTAGTGACCATTTTAATGGATATTGCTGTAATGACATTTCACAGAGAAAATTATATTATGTCTAAAATTAATTGCTTTATATATTTTTGTTATTAGTAGACTGCCGTTTTTATGGGATACATCTAAACTGCTCTTTTTCTTGACTAATCTGCTGTATAGAAGCTGTTCAAACTTGGGGTATAAGAGAAGACAAGCCTGTACAAGTAAAAGTGATATTGGTAGAAGCCACTCAGGTGTCATGGCCAGTGGATTCCCTCTGTAGATTAATGGCATGTGACATAAGTAAAAGATTTGAATAGGCGCCTCCTGCCTGCCTGAAATACCTATTCCCGCAATATTATGTCTAAGTCTTAATAAATTAATTATGTAAATCTTACCAGGGAATCTGATTGCATACATAAGTTTGAACTCTCCTGCAGTCACAGTCTGGCATATAAAAAATTATCTAGTTTTCTAGCCTACTTGTTGAATATCGAATCCAGAAAACTCAAGTGGACAGTGCATTTTCTGTGTTGGAGTAATATGGTCTTGGTAATTGCCCGCTGTTAGAAAATGCAATCAGTTTCTCATGTATCACAGGCAAAATTCAGCAAACACTCTAAAACAACCCTTGATTTTCTTCACTATGCATATTCATGTAATTTTGGATACTATGACACCCTGATCAACATTCATTAATAATATGAAATGCCTAAATCACCTCATTTAAAACATTTTGTTCTGTGAACTACAAATGACTAACATTTGGAAAAGTTTACATAATACAAATGATGTGCATGTTTATTATAAATGAAAGATTAAAATATGAAACTAAAAGTATGCAAACATATTCACACAAACACTGAATATCTATTAACGGAAATAATGATTTCATACCTTCTTTTCCTTGAAGCTGCTTCCAATTGTGTTCCAGTTTGGGATTTTACACAATATCATGTTTTCAAGGTGAATAAAATTACTCAAGTGCTTGGGCATATTTTTAATTTGCTGATTAGCACTTCTTTGCCCATAAAAAAGCTTTTCTTAGTAAAACTGATGAAGGTGCTTACCTTAGGGCAACCTTGCTCATTTAGGTCAAGGGAGCAATGCTACTATGGAAAGCAGTGACCTATCTTTGGTGCTTCAAATAAAGAAATTTCAGATTTGCCAGTATAGTTTTAAAATGGGCTAAAAATGCAAAACCTGTTTAATAATTTAAACAATATAATATTTCTCCTCACAGGTATTTTTATATATACATTTAAAATATGGCCACAGTTATATGTTCTTAAGCCTTTGTAACTGAAGTTATCTGAAGAGAATCACTGTAGTAGCTGTCATATTAAATAGAACTTCTATAATCAACTATGATATTTTGGGAAAACTCACAGTAATTAACAAGAAATGTAAGTTTGTAACCATTCTCAAAACACTAGTTCTCTTTATAAGTACATCTTCTCTAAACCAGAAAATCTACAAGATAATAAAGAAGTAACACAATCTTTATGGATAATTTTATTTGAACCATTCTGAGACCCAGTCCTTTTTGGACAGAGAGGAGAGGTGGGCAGCACTCCAGAGCCAAATGTCAACCAGATTTAACTGTAATAGTAAATCCTTCCATACCAAGAATTTTTCTCTTTGTAATATTTTAGATTAATGAGTGTATATAAGCTTTAGTTTTAAAGATACAAATCATTGTCAATTCAATATAATATTTATGATGTTTGTGTTTAATACACATTTTTTCCCATAGATGTCTTACCACTGGTACCTGGGTTTGGAAGCACTGAGCTATCTATATCCCTAGGCCTTGTCTTTAAATATTATTTTAAGGCTAGGCTTGATTTTCTTTCCTTTTTTTTTTTTTTTTTTTTTTTTCTTACTAGGGATCAAACTCAGGACCTTGTGCTTGTGAGGCACACGACAACCCCACTGAGCTAAATTCTAGCCTTGAATTTTCAATCCTCTTGCCTCAGTCTCTCTAATAGCTGAGATAAAGGGCATGGGCTACCACACCCAGTAATAATATATATATTTTTAATCATTTCCAGCAATATTTCTCAATGACTCAGGAACTCAGGGTTAGCCTCTCCATACATTTTACTGGAAACAATAACTTACACCAACAAGCATTACAAACTCAAAGATTCTAAGAATACCTCTTTCTAATGATATCTCTTTTTCTCTTTTCATTTTAGCGATACAGTGTGGAAATGTCCATCAGGCACCTGAAAAAGACAGAGCTGCTTAGTAAGGTTGAAGCTTTGAAGAAAGGTGGCGTTTTACTACCAAATGATCTCCTTGAAAAAGTGGATTCAATTAATGAAAAATGGGAACTGCTTGGGGTATTTGCATTTTTATTACTGTTTATAGGTTATGTGTACATTTTTTGTGTAGTGAAGTACTCTATCTGTCTGATTTCTAATTTGAGGCACAAATATCTCTCTCTTTCAATTCACTACCTACATTTCAAACAAGCTATTCATGTTATTATGGAGAAAGCACTGCCTTTCTCTTCTGTTGTTTTTTTTTTTTTAATTCTGAGCTTGTCTCGGCTCAGCTTTTAATAATTTTGGTTCTTTAATACATAAAAAAGTAAGTAAAATATGCCATGTATTATGGTATGCACCAAGTCAACTATAATACAGTATATCTGATATACACTGACTGTCATGCTTGAATGAATGTTAATAGAATTTATTCTGAAGGTACATGTTAGAGACATCCACTGTTTAACTATTTACTGTACCCTTAAGATGAAAAGTGGAGTTGTCACTACAGCTTTCAAGTCACAATAAAGCCACCAAAACAAAGATGCAAATTTAGCCCAAACCTAAATTGCAGAATTAAATCACCTTCTGTTTTGTGCCTCAATTTCCAATTCACTTTTAACAAAAGAAAAAAAGTTTCATGTAATTCATTTCACGCAATTATGGGCTGGGTCACAGCCAAACACTGAGATGTAAGAATCTAGCAAAAAGCAGTGTAGAGATTCTGCTACCCAGAGACCAGGATGGCACTGTGCAGGAGACACTACTGTCCGTTTTTTGGAAGACAGCACAGGGAGAGAAGTTAACCTGTATTTTTTCATCAGCTTCTCTCCTAAATTACCTTCACTTCAAATCAAGGGTAAGCTAAATTTGTCAGTAACCTAAATGACTAATTATAACAGCTAAGTATGGGTGGTGTTAGTTATGGAGTGTAATTTTTCATGTTTTCCAATTTTCTGCCTCTTTAAAAAATTTTTTAAAAAGAAATAATACTCCAGAAATATTTTGAACTAGAAGATCTCCATGTACCTTGCTGACTTGGAGAAATGCCAGTTTGCAGTTTGTGCCATGCTTAATCCAGGTGATTAGAAATACAAGTTCAAGTCCTTGGTGCTCATCTGAATTCTTTTCACTCTGCAGTTTTACAAAGTAACTTAAAAATGTTCAAAGGTCTTACTCTAATCTATAAATACATTGCCTTTTAATAATAATTAGTGAATTTCACTTTATAATATGTGGATTTATATCAGAACTTACTAAATTCTACAGAATTTACTGATCTCAGACAGGAGAATGTGGTTGGTGTGTGGCAGTTTAAAAGGTTATTTATTAAATAAAAACAGCAACTCTATGTGCTTGATAAATAAAATGACAGTCTGTTTATATTGCATTTTAATTATCTTTTGCTAATTTAATAAATAATATTTTTAGAAAAGTGTTTAAAGTACATTATGTATGTTGCTGCAACAAAAATTTTAAATCAACATTATACTGAGGAAACAATATTTAACAATTCTTTATTAACCAGTTACCTCAAAAGTAGTTGTCATTTTGACAAAAATACTATTCAAGTACAATACACATTTTTGTGATGATTTGGGGAAAGAATGGGACAGAGGGAAGATATTAGCAAAACCTGTGACGTGCTAACATCACCAGGCGTACTGTTTTAATTGGCATGATTACATTTTAATTGGCATAAAAAAATTAAAGACAAGGATTTTAACTTCTAACAATAGTAAAATAGAGGGATATGGTTTTTAATATTACTTTCATCTAAGGTGAACAGTGTGGAATGGAAATACATTAGAATGAAATGTCAGTGGTGCGTACAGTTTAATCTGTGAAATTTTGTCCCCTGTGCTGCATATTACTCTGTCTCAATTGCATATTAAACAACCCTATCAAGGCAGGCATTGGCATCTGCTGTGCTGACACAAATTGTGAATTAAATGAAATTGATGTCCTCTGTCGTATATTTATGAAGACGGACCATTCTCTGAAGTATTCTGTTTATGAAGAATTTATGATTGCAAACTGTTCCAGAACAAAAAAGTGGCAATAAATTCCTTTTTTGTGACCCTACCCTCCAAGGGCATTGATTTCACCTCCTGCTGCTACTTTTGTTATAGCATAAAAACAATAGCTAAATCTGGATTCCACTGAGAGTCTTCAAATTATCAATATTTGCACCATGAAAATACAAGGGTGTTGCCCAGAAAGGCTGTTTTTCTGTTATGATCTCCTAAAGATACTATTTACAGATTACTGCACAGCAGATGAATGTTTGTTGACTTAATTTTATTTGTGTTTTAAAGCTTTATATTTGTGGGGTTAATTTATAATAATAGATTAAATGCTATTGATGTTACAAAGAGAGTGCTTTACACCAGAAAGAAAAAGAGAAAGAAAGAAAGAAAGAAAGGAAGAAAGAAAGAAAGAAAGAAAGAAAGAAAGAAAGAAAGAAAGAAAGAAAGACCAGGAAGAAAGAAAAGGAAAGGAAAACCAGCTTGATGGTATATTCATGACATAGTGGTAAATCTAAGTGAGATTCTTAGCATAGTGAGTTGGGGAATATGTGTATATATATTAGAGCATCAAGCATCCTAAATACAAAATGAGAATTGTGGAATTGAACAATTTCCATGTTAAGTAATAATCACCAACAACACCAAGGAGGCTACTTTTTTTTTAAAGCCCTCTGTCATGGTTTGGGTAATTGCACTTCACAAAGCAAAAGGAATTTAATTCTCTGTACAGTCTACTCTTGGCCTTTTTAGTATATTGATTAAATTCAGATTTCTCTTTTTTAATCATTCTATGTATTAAACTTTTAACTGTAAATTCTTATCCTGAGAATTCAAATGAATTTTTATCTGTGACCATGGTGAACTTTGGGACCAAATGTCTTTTCTGGTAGAGGAAAGTAAAAGTGAGTGAGATTTTCTTAAGCATCTACTGGCAATCAAAACAACATGCACTGCCTGAGAATTTGAATTCCAAATGGAAGAGTGAGCTAATCTGAACTGAAAGTCAGTTGTGAGGTGGAAGGTACAGCTAGACACCACCAGGTAACTCTTGTTATGATATTCTTTTGGTTCTTAAACTAATCTATGTTTTGTTTTGTGTTGTTTTTTAATCTGCTTCATTAGAAAACCTTAAGGGAGAAGATACAGGACACAATGACAGGGCACAATGGATCAGGTCCACGAGACCTGCTCTCTCCTGAAAGTGGAAGCCTGGTAAGACAGCTGGAGGTCAGGATCAAAGAACTGAAAGGGTGGCTAAGAGACACAGAGCTTTTCATCTTCAACTCCTGTCTGAGACAAGAAAAGGAAGGAACAATGAATGCCGAGAAACAACTGCAATACTTTAAGGTAATAAAAAAAAATCAAAGTTGATACAAAGCTTTCTTCATGGTAGAGATGAAATATTTATCAAGTATATGAAGTATTATGCCCATTATCTGTGTATCATGGTGAACTTAAATGTTTCTTTGAATTTATAGATACTCTCCACATTTCTTACATGGTAATGTCTATATGTGTATACAGATGAACTGCAAGCATATCAAATACACATTGTATAAGCGAAGTCTTTGTTGCTCATACGTTTTGTGCAGTGAGGTAGGACTTTGAAAAATTAAAAGCAGATTGGAAAACATAAAAGATTACTGAGGACTCTGGAAGACAGACCCTAAATGCTCTATAAATAAGTTTCATAAATTGATGATATAAGCACATGATTTAATTGAAGGCTATTAACACTAACAAAAGAAAACATGATTTTTACATATGAGTCTAGTATTTATGAAGGGAGGAAATAAAGTACATGAGATTGCTACATGATAGGCATATTCTATTATAAAATAATGCCAGCCTTACTGTCACAGCTATCTTCATGGTCATGTCCAGGGAAGAGCATTTTCCCAGCTCGTTTCTGTTCTTTATACAATATCTATTCAAAAGCAGAGCAGTATTTGAGTATTTTCCCTTATTGCCCAAGCTAGCACATACTGCTTAAACCCTCAGCCTGAGTCTTTGGGGTTGTAGGGTATGAATTTGATTACAAGAAATCTTCTAGTATGAAAGGTTTTAAAGAGGAGAATAAGGACAACCAAGAAAGAAAGAACTTCTTGGGACCAAGCAACCATTTCTTTTCAAAGCTTTCTAGGACAAGATTTTATTCATCTCACCCCACTTATCACTCTGTGAGAGAATTTAGTCACATTCTGTCTACCAGATAGGCAGGCACATCTTGCTAATTTGTATAATCCAAGAGGAGGCACCCTCAAAGGTAAGATCACAGTACTTTCCAATAAATTATGTGCATCATATATCTATGAATTGTTTTGGTTAAAAACATCTTTTTCCATTTAATTGACAAGACCACACTGGAAATTAGGTGAAAATACCTTGTCAAGGCAAAAGGGCTTCAGAGTCTAAAATCTGATATTCACGTGATTTGTTATTCATTTCTGCTTGTCCCACCTACTCAAAAACCCAATGCAGGAAGATAAGATCTACAGATATTCACTTCAGTGTTATTTGAATTTGGCACATACTTTATAAAGTATATGTCCTATACTTTATAGGACACGAGGTGCATGTTATAAAGTATATTTTTCTCCATTATACTTGTATTGCAACATTAATAACTGATTAATGGCTCCCGCTGTGGAATTACATCAAAATTCAGTTCAATTGTGTGACCCTTGGTCGTGTTTCTTGTATGATTTCTGGGTGCCTCAAGTTCTTCCTCTATAAAATGTGCTTTCAGTAGTGTTTATCTATGAGTTCACATATGTAAATTATTACTTCTTTTTTTTGTATAGAAAATATTTGTAAGGTATAAAAATCTTTCAGCATTATAAACCCAAACCTTTAACATAATACTTATACACAACCACAGCAAGTTATTAGAATTATTTATCAACCTACATATTTACGTGTCTTATACATAGGATTTGGGGGAGGCACAGGAGCTCATTCAAGCTAGGCGAGCAGTTTGCCCCTGAATCAAATCCCCTTATACAGTCTTTATATTTAGGCTTAAAAAAAAAAAACATTTCTATTACAGTTGGAAGCATGTTTGCTGCTGCTTCCAGAGAACATTAGCTTTAAGTTTTGGCTTATACTGTGATAACATCATTATCATCTAGGTCCCAGGAACAAATTTACAATGATTCAAGAAACAAAGACTCAGAGATTGGGATAGAAATAGAGACAGAGATAGAGATGGAAATGGAGATGGAGAGCAGGGAAGGAGAGAAGAGGGGACAGGAAAGGAGGAGAGAAAGGGACATAAGCAGTCTGGACTTACTTGCAGATCATTAGATAATTCTTAGCATTCTAGTCTTTTACTAAAGTTGCACTACTAGTTTATAGCCACTCCGGAATAGTCACTACACCAAATTCATTATTTACCAAATGCAACTTTGTTTGTTTGTTCGTTTTGGTCCCAGGAATCAAACTTGGACTTTGTACTTGCCAGACAGGCATGGTGCCACTGAGCTAAATCCCCAGCCCCCAAGTGCATCTCTGTACCTGAAAATAATGTAGAATTTTTATTTCAAAAGTACAATGATGATGTCATATGATTTTTGCTAATTTATTTTTTTTCAGGTACAGCTTTTTTCTTGAAGTATTTTTATTTTTAGTGTCACTATCCATTGAATTAGCTGCTTTTAAACTAAGAATATGACTTAGTTTAGAGTGCTTGCCTAGCATGCCCAAGGCCCTGGGTTCGATTGTCAGCACCACAAAACTAAAGGAAAAAGATACTAAATGCTTGTGTACTCCTACTCTAGTTAGCTATTTTCAAATAATACAACCACAGAGAATCCCAACAATAGGTAGAACCTTAACACTAATGTAATCTAACAGTGTGGTTCTCTAGGCATATTCTATCCACTGCTTTCCTGTTCTAGGGTTATTTGTGATCTTAAACCCCATGTTAATATTTTCTTACTTCCTTTTTATAAGAAAGAATATTTTTAATTTTACTTGTTTTTCACTTTATTAAAACTATTCATGTCATAAGTTATCTTTTAGGACTTCTCTTTCATTTCCTATTAGAATGCCAAGATTCATCCATGTTGTTGGGTATGGTTATAATGCACTTGTTTTGAAAACTGTAATAATCCACTTTGAGTATACAATATACATACATCTTATTTAATTCTCATTTGGGTCCTGATTTTATTTATATGAAGCAGAGACACAAGAAGCTTTTCTATGTCCAAGGTCACCTTTCATGAATAGTAGAATTAGTTTAGGTCTGGGGCTGTCTGACTCTGACATCCACTCTCAAACTATAATGTAAAATTGATATTTATTGATATTTACCAAGTGTCCTTCCATATGAAGTTGATTTAAAAAGAAGAGCAGGATAGAACTAAATTTCAATATTTCTTTATGGCAAATTTATCAGTCATTATCTTCATTTGGGCAAAACAGCAAATAGCTTTACTTATTGAAGATATGAGAGAGTATTTATGTTTTCATTTTCCATTTTTATACTCTATCAATGTAAATTTCTTTTGTCAGGTATCTTCTTTTAAACTGAAACTTTTCAAACATTTTGAAATTATAGATCCCTGGTGATCTTTCCTTACACGTATGTTAGTCATCTTTCTATTGCTGTAACAAAATACTGTCTCAAATGTTTCAGTCTATGGTCATGTGGGTCCATTACTTTTAGGTCTGTGGTAAGGCAGAAATGTTGTGATGAAAGGTTGTGGTAAAGCAAAGCTCCTTACCTTATGGGAGGAAGGAAGCAGAGAGGGGACAAACCAAAGAAGAAGGGGCCAGAGCAAAGATACAGCGTGCAATTCATGCATCTAAGATCCATCTCAGACCCACATCCTTTAACTAGGCCCCACCTCCTAAGTTTGCATTGCCTGTCAATAATGCTGTCATATTATGACTCCATTGATGAGTAGATCCACTGATGAAGTTAGACCCTTTGTTATTCAATTGCCTTCCAAAAGGCCCACCTCTGAATGTTGCTGCATCGGTGACCAAGCCTTCAACATATGAAACTTTTGGGGGACATTTCATATTGAAACCAAAACAATGAGCTTAAGCTTATTTATTTTTTAAAATTGGTTTTCAGGAGTTTGATCAGTTAAGTTATAGGAATCTAGCACAGTACTTTTTTGTTTTTATTAAAGAAAACTATATCCAGGTTTGTTGGAATAAATGTTTTTTCTAACTAGAATTTTAAGTATTTCCAAGGTATTTACTATTAATGATTAGTGTATGACTCATCAAGAATTCTGTATCTTGCTACACTCATTTGAAGGATGGAACCAAATGTTTGTAATCAATAATAATAATGTAACATAATGTTTATAACCTGTTAAAATCATAATTGCCTAATAGCCATATACAGAATAAAAAGATTTTTACATGCCAAAAAGCCAAAGAACAGATACCGTCTACCTTTCTCACTGATAAAACCACTCAGATACAAGAGTTATAAAGAACTTTTCCTTGTGGGAAACTCTTTGGTATACTTTTTCTCTTATGGTTTCCCATATGTCTCCTGCCATCCTTGGTCACACAGAAGAGGACAACTCTTTATCCATAGGGCTCTGCATTCTCTAAATCTCAGGCTTTTAAAAGAACCAAATGCCTTTATATAACACCCAGAGTTATGACATCTGAACTACAGTGCAGAACTCCAGAACAGGACAAAGGGTTACAGATTCAAGGAAAGCCCATCACTTTGTGGACAGACCTACATTTTGAACTTAGAGCTTAGTTTGGAATGAGAGAAAAGATCAGGACCTTAAGTTAAAAAAAAAAAAAGGAAAAAGCACTTGTGGAATGTTTTTTCTTTAAGGAAGGTAGTGTGCTAAATGTGGGATAATACCCAAGAGAAAATTCTATCCAATAAAAAAAGAGTCAAAGTCCAACAAGAGAGGAGAAACATAAAGGTGTGAACTCAAAGCCTTGGGACAGAAAAGCAAAACTGTCAGAGTGAACACACTCTGATAGCAAAATATGGGAGAAGATTCAAGGTTTTAATGAAGCCAGCTGGCAAAGGGCCCTTTAGAGCTATGTGTGATTAGCTTCAATACCATTGGTTAGAAAGCACTGCTTTTTAATGATGACTCTTCAGAGAGAAAAAAATATAATTACTTAATCATATCTTCCTTTATCTACAAGCTAAATTCATTCTAAAGTTTCTAAACTGGGAAGAAAATCTGCATCACTAGTTAAAGAAACCCACAGTCTTGGCTTTAAAAGTGAGGTTAGACCCACTACAAGACTTTGTCAAGAAGTAAATATGAACTAGATTTGATAAGCTTGTCAGGTATTAATGCCTCAAATTTGCTTTATAACTTAAATTTGACCAAGTACTTTATGCA